CTTTTTCTTCCATTTCTTTTTTTTTTCTTTTCTTTTTTATTTTTCTAAACTAACGCAAAGGATAATCAAGAAGAACTCGTGCGTTTCTTAAGGACACGATAAAATCATTTAACTTCAAGTTGTTAGCTAATTAACGTCACTCCTGAGAGAGAGAGAGAGAGAGAGAATAGAAGGACGTTATCGATCCTGTTAGCATTCACATATTATTCTTTTTCCTTTTTTTTTTTTTTTTTTTTCCAATAAACTTAAACAACACCGATGTTAAAGGCCAGAGAAAATATGCATGTATATGTGCATAATGAATCGGCAAGATATTTCGGTGAGTTTACCTTTTCAGTTGAAATCGGTGCTAGATGCAAAAGGACAGCTTGAACGATGATGATGATGATGATGATGATGATGGCACCGTCAGTCTGATCGATTTGTCCGAGAAAAATTATCCTATCTCTTATTCCGCTGAAATTTAAAACGTAAAGAGACAATGTTTAATATATTTATAACCAAATATACGAGATTTAAATTTTAATATTATTTAATTATTGTAATTAGTATATAATTATATAGAATATAATAATTATTATAAAAATATCGTGCGATAATAAATTTATAACATAATATTATAATAATAATAAACATTATAAGATAATAAACATAAAGATAATAAACATTTTAATCGCATTATTTGTTATCTTATTGTTAAATATTTTTTACGACAGTTACAAACGTCTGAAATATCTGCAGGTATATATATATATGTATGTATGTATATGAATGTGTATTTGTATGTATGCGTATAAAATGAAAGAAAAGAAATACAAATCTTTTCTTTTCGAGCCAAATATGTTGGCATTGGGAAGCTGCTTGTTCCTGGACCATTTCGAAGGATGTTGCATCGTTACTTATGTTAGACATTTTCCCCTTACCGTTTTACCTCCTATAAAATGCATTTCAGTTTATGTTTGGCACGACAAGAAAAGAGGAAGTTTCTTCTTCTTCTTCTTCTTCTCTTATTTTTGTCGTTTGAGTATATTTACGTTCGTATATTGGCCAAGACGTCCAACCAGTTGCAGAAATGAGTATAACAATGAGAAAATAAATATTTATTTTCTATTAATAATACATGTATATTATATAAACAAAATCTATCGTATAAATTTAGATTAGAAAATTGATCAATGAATTAGCAATGTTACAACCCAAATGTATTGTACATTTATGTTAAATATCATTTTAATCGCAACGTAATTTCTTTTCCTATTTTAAAATAAAAATATGTAACGAGCTTTATTTATTTGATTAATTATTGAATAACAGTGATATTAAAACAAACAAAAAAATAAGATAAAATAAATAATTATGAAAGACATTCATCGTCAAACAAGAATCGAATGAGATTGAATCGATCGTTCTGAAATCTTTGGTTAAATAAATCAGAATAAAATTGATAAACGGTGTGGAAAATGTTTCGACAATGTGCACGCGCCTATGTATACGTATATATGTGTGTATGTATGTATGTATGCATGTCTTTGCTCTATAATCGTCGGGATATTCCTAGCCTATTTATGCACGACGACGACGAAGACGAATAAAACTCATCCGTGCACGAGAAACCAACCCCTTAAGTTCTCGTTCTTCGTGTAAATTCGAAATATCTATTTGCCAAGAGAATTTATGAAGAGGAAACATATGGAAATTGAATATTATAATAGCATAGTGACGAATAAAAGTATTGGCACGTACTAAAATTTTCTTCTAACATCATACGAATAAATTTGTTCAAACTATTATTCTATATGTAACATTATTCTTTATTTTTCTTTTCTATTTTTTCGGTTAAATATGTAATACGTATTTCTTCCGGTCTAAAATTGAAGTATGTTGTTAGTCATGCTAATTAAATATACGTACGTGCAGTTTAAAATAAAATACAAAACAAATAATAGTTTTAAATACGTAACACTGTATACACGTATGAGTAAAAACTAGTTTTAATCGTTTTTGTTTTTTTTCTTTTTCTTTTCTATTACCGTATGTTTTTTTTCTTTTTACTATAAGTACACGCCAAATTTAATTACCCATTCCCTTAAAATATGTGCCTTAACTTCAGACTCTCGAGTGTGATCAATTTTACACGCAACAAAATTATATATTTATAAAATCTTACATATGTTTTTTACTCTCTTTTATATTCACGTAGAAGAATACGTTATAAGAATATTTATATTCACAGTTAAATAATGTTTGTTACTTTTTCTTCTTCTTCTTCTTCTTTTTCTGCCACTGCATCTACGCACATATTTACGTAAATTAAAGTAAAAAAAAAAAGAAGGAATTACATACAAAATCATATCTATTTTACATATTTATACTGAAGTATTTTTTTTTGTTTTATACAAGATAACGTATTTCATTTGCCAATACTTTAATTCGCTACAGTGTATCTACATAATACTATTTACGTAAATCAATTAATTACTCGCTGATTTTTTCTTCTTCTTTTTGTTTTCTTATTTGCCTTTGGTTTTTTCCCTTTTTCTTTTTTGTTGTCTTTTTCTTTTCTTTTAAAGTTAGAACGTGCGACAAGAAATTGAGAAGATCTATTCTAATCTATTCGCGATACGGGTATTTCCAGTTTCGATCGACAAGAATAGCGAGCTTGTAAATGTTGCTGCTAGGTAGTATTATAACGCTTATGTTAGCATGACCTGGCCGCGATAAATGAATTATCGATGGGCATGCGGAGTGTACCTATTTACGGACTGTATCACCTGAACGTAGATCAACGATTTGCGTTTAATCATTTGATTTGGATGATTCATTTCGTTTCATTGTCTTTTTTATCCAAGGATAAGTGTACGTACATATACACACATATACATATATATATTAATAAAACGTTATGTCAAACTCGAAGAAAAATAATTAGGTTTTCTATGAAATTCTATCCATATAAGATACACGTATACTATACAGATATGTAATAAGTGAATTAATTGTGATGGTAGTGGTGGTAATGAGTGTGTGCAGAGGATTTGATTATTACTGTTATTTAATTTTTCTTTTCCTTTTTCTTCTTCTTATTATTTTCTTTTTTCTTTTTTATTATTTCATTTTTCTTCGTGTTGTCATCCGTCATGTCCTCGACATTGTTTTCATATCGTAGTATGTTTATACATATGTACGATATACGGAAACTACGGTTTATGTTTACACACTGCACAACATTCCTATCAATCGTGACGTAATCTTCGCGTTTTATTTTTACCTTAAATACTATTCCTAACGAAATGCGTAATTACTTACGTATCTCGTACAACCGACATGGTCAGTATCGTTATTACCACACGATTATGATTATTATTTTTACTATTACTACTACTATTCCTATTACTATTATTATCATTAAGACTATTATGGCATTCTCGGTATATATTATATATTCTTCTTTGTTTATTGGACATATTTATATAATACAAACGATAACCAATTCTACAATATTACAACAACAACAACAACAGAAAATATTTATTACGAATTTGATATCATTAAATCTCTGTGTATATATAAGTATATCTTTAAATCAATTGAGATAAACGCGAATTCGATTAATTACGTGTTGCAACGAGAACGCGCTAATTTTCAAAAATATCGAAACTCGAATCATTCGAACGCATACGAATGATGTGATTGTGATCCTTTTCTTCGACCAGAGAAATGAAGCAAAGAAGAGTTCGATGCCCACACTGAAGTTTTAAAAAAAAACAGAAGCGGAAAGGTAAAGAAAGAGAAAGAGAGAGGTAAAATAAAAAGATAAGGAGAAAGACACAACAGTTGGCTGTCAAAATATAACCACGTTCTCTCCATCGAAACTCACCTTACATTGCAAGCTGCCACACCTTCTCGAGTGTCGAAAACACTCGCTCAGTTCTTTCGATCTCTCTCAATCTCCATCTCTTTCTCCATTTATAAATATTTATTTTCTAACTTTATATTTATGTATATATATATATATATAGAAATATATATATATATATATATACATATACATATATATGTATGTATAGATATTTTCCTCTCGAATCGTACTGTTGTCGTTACAGAAAATTCGACCGTTGCAAGTCACAGATCACGAAAAAACAAAGCACCGGATGTTACTTGGATATCTCATGCAGAGAGTAAGTGAAAGAGAGAAAGAGAAAGAGAGAAAGAGAGAGAAAGATAGACGCGCTTCGCGAGACGTGCATCATTCCCTGCACACACGCGTGCGCGCGCGCGCGCGCACATGCATCGGGTTAAGAAATGGAGGAGGGGTGAAAGTGTACATAAAAACAATGATTCAATCATAATGGTCACGTCCTCCTAAGAACATGATGGAAATTGTTCTTTCTTACCTTGCACACGATGTTCTTGTTATCAGCGAATACAAAACAACGGACGATCATGATTATTGCATCGTTAACTGTTTTCTATCATGATATTGTCTTCTATTGATATTTCTTTCCCCGAGCACGATTATTACGTATGTCGTGTTTACGAGCGCGAAAAGTGATGCAGAAACCCGCGAAGTAAACGATGAAAGAACGATGACGATGATTCGTAACGTCAACCGAAAGTATCACCAATGTTACTTTGTGTCGTAAAAAGAGAAAGTGCCATCTATTGGTCGAATTGGTGGTTTGCTTCTGCCAAATCGTATGGTATGCACTTTGTCGGCCAATTAGAAAAGAGCTCGCATTTACGCGCATTTATTTGAATTTTCTAATTATGCATTATCGCATAACTCGTGTCACGTTCGTGTATACGTTAATTTTGAAATGTTTTTAATAAGTTTACTTTTGAAAAAATGTGATTTTACAAATTATATATGTTTAACGATCGATAAATATTATTCTAAACGAAACATTGTCGATTTCTTCCTTATCGTTAGATTTAAAACAAATGGCGTCGCTAGTTACAAATGCATACACGAATTTTGCTTATGGCATGTGATGTATATGCATTTTCAATTGATCATAGTGTCGTCATCTTACAACTACTAGCTCGACTTTAAACATACGTACTATTTCTCTTTATATTCAGTAGAATTGTGACTTTTGTAAATTTATCTGATTGTTATGACGAGAGGTTATGATAGATAAGAATACATAACAGATTCTATCAAGAATTTTTTTTTACACGGGAATACCCCACTAAGGAAAAAGTATGGTCAGTTTTTAAGGACGATACTTTAGATTGTGTTCCTTTTGCTTTATTATTCTTTCCTTTTTTGTTCTAGCACGTGAGTAATGTATTTTACATTTATTTTCTTATTACTGTACAGCTTATAATTTTTCTGCAAAATAAACGTAATATAATAGTTTGATGTTAATATTGAATGCAATTGTTGATAAAACTATTGAAATTAAATAAAATATTTGTGTAAAAAATATTCTATTCTCGATATCTCGATTATATATTATATCTATTATTAGTATCGTTTACAGTGATTCATTATTTTTCTACTTTTTATCAAAACCTATTAAAATTATTTGCAGAAAATGTCTTGGTTTTTTGGTAAAAAGAAACATCAAAAGGAATCACCGGTTGAGTCAACAGAGGATCTCACGTCCTCCACCATAGAAAATGAATTTGAAAATATTGAAAAAACACCATATCCTATGCCTCCAAATGCTCAGGATGGAACACCTTATCCTAGTGGTGGTCTATATCCGTTAATTGGTGGTGTTTCAACTTATCCTACGCTGCCTACAGATTCGACTACAAATAATCAACAAGGGGATATGCAACATTATTTAAGTGGAGTACCATTTAAATTATGTAAACAATTGGAAAGTAGTACGGATAATGATTTTGAGATTGATAGGTTGCGTGCTAATGAAATTTTATCTTTTATTCAACGAATAGAGGAGCAAAATTTAGATTATGATTTTTCACATGAGAAGAGTGTCATTTCAGAAATGAATAGCACTACAGATGAGTAGTTTATAAATGTTATCCAAATATTACATTCACAGTTAAAAAGTAATTTTGTTCTCATGTATGTCTTGATGTATAAGATAGCGTAATGTATTTTATTTCTTATGCACACATACGTTATACTCTTTGAATTCTAGTATTTAAATATTATTTTTTAAAATACACTTTAACTTGAAAGTATTTGCTTTATAATAATTAGATTTTATTATCTTTCTTTTTGTTCTTCTTTTATTTTCTTTCTTTTTTTATATTTATTGCATCCGTGTAACATGAATGAAATATTTTTTTGTGAATTTAGATATAATCCATAGTTCCAAGCGTATGGCTCTATTAAATATAATTAAAATATTTTTTAACAATGATAATATATATTTTAAGAAATATTTATGAAAGACCATTCGCATACTAATTATGTGTTTTTAAGTATATTTATATTGTCACGCTTGCAATATGTAATACATATATTTCCTCATATGCTCAGGAACAAACTTGTAAGTGAATACATAACACAAATAGAGCACAAGGATATATTCTTGATTTTATTCTTATTAGTTGTATAAATGGCAAGTGTGTCAATGTAAATATTGTTTAAAAATCGTATATTTATCATTGTTGATAATGATTAAATGCCATTAATTAATGTAATCAAATACATGTAAAAAAATTTTAAAATATTTTAAAATAAACTATTAGCTTATTGCAAAGAATTTCATTATTAACATTAATATAAGATAAAATCAAAATATTATGATAAAAGTTTTAAATATTAACATTTTAGTATTTGACATACTACAGTCATGAAACTTGTTCGCATATAAATACTTTAAATACATATTTACATATAACTTGTTTATGTAGTTTGAGATTAATAAGTATACTAGATATGTAACAAAAGATTTACATATTCTTACTTAATATTCTGAAACTCTTATAAAATGTAATACATAACAAAATCGCTGACATTTATTATTATTTATCCACATGCGTTACTGAAATAAATTGTACAGATTATAGTTCCAAAACTAAATCGAGTGTTACTACGATGATGACAAGTATAAAAAATGGCAACCAGTTTTTGAGAAAACCATAAAAACTGTAATAACGAAAATAATTCATTAAAATTTATGAGCCGCAAAGTTTCTACAATTAATTGCTATCAACACTAAATACTATCAAAATACTTACTTAACGTATCTTCCTTTTATAAACATAAGAGCAGCTAATTTAACCATGTTCCATTTTGTAGAGTTATCATAAGCCATTAAATTTAAAGCTGTCGCAACATGCGAGTGACAATTATCGAGAAATAAATTATGCTAAAAGATTGATTAAGCGTAATTCAATAGAAAAACTTATAGTAATGACTATGAATTTATAAATTTACCATCCTGGCTTTATAAATTTCACTGGCTTCTGATACAGCCATATCCCATCCTTGTACACCGCCTTTTGCTTTTGTGTACTGAAGCTGCCAATATTTAATAGGTTTACCAAATGCCATTTGATCTTCTGATACATGATACGGGCCAGCGAAATCCCTTATTACACCGGTCGATGTACAAATTCCCATATGACCAATAAATGGTATTAAATAACTATGAGTAAATTGATAATTAATATTCAATATATTTCCTAACATAACAAATATTTTATTCGGTGACCTAACCGATACATTAATTATTAATATCGCAATGTTTACCAATAAATAAAATTCTCATCAATTGATTAAATAGTCTATTAAATGAATCCAACATTAATAAATAATTCAATCAAAGAAAGAGAACACGATCAAATGTCACAGACTACATAGTAACCCAAAGTTAGATATTTGACAGCGATATTTGAGGTTAAGTTGACATTTGAAAACAACTCACGTAATAATAGGCAGTGGAGTCCAAACGATGCAAAAGGGAAATCTCTGTCTTTCAGGATTTATACTGAGATCCATTTCTGGCGAACTTATCGTAGATTCGGATATTACATTCGTTAATAAATCAGGATCCATAATAGTTTACGTCAACCTGCTGTTTGAACGCGCAAGCAAGCAATGAACTATCGATTTATTCGATACTAAAGTTTCGATCTTTTTAAATCGTAATAAAAGTTCAAAGACGATTATCTTTAAAAGCCAAACAATAGTTATTATACAACTATTACATTATATTATTAGTTATTATATTAGTTATTATGTTATATATAATATTATTATATATATATATAAT